AGCACAAAGCAGAGCCTCTCTGTTCTCTTTATATACAGCAAAGCATCAGGACATGTCAGTGAACGCATCACAGTTACAATAATATAACTTGGATCACATAACATATTGAACTTTGGACACATTTTCTGCTGATATATGACGAGTATATGAACAGTATCAGATCACACAGCATCTGCAACTTCGCTCAGAACCTTAATACTGCTGCTATCAGTCTGAGCCCTGATGGAGAAAGAGTAGCAGCTGTACCTCTGAGCTCTCTTCTCTCTGATGATGAGCGTCCATAACTGATGTGTTCACTTCTCCCTGCTGAGCAGACTCCAGCTCCATTACTGTCTGAAACACACATGGAGGACGTCAGTGCAGGCAGCACAGTCTCATAACTGAAATAACCTCAGTTGTATCTATAACACAAAAAGGTTTGTTGAACATTTTTTCTCTACAGTGCAAAAACTGTGAGATGACTCGTGACTCGTGGCAGGTCTGACTCATAAACATGATTACAGATCAGGAACGTGTTTGTCATCAAAGCCGTCAATCATCAAAAACTTGTAAACCCGACCTGACCGATCCTGTCAGGAGGCTACATCTACAAAACTACAAAATGAGCCACATAAAGAAAGTCAAATCCAAAAGACCAACACAGCTGAATAGATCAGGTTGATATTTACTGTTTGTATAGAAATTATAAACCACTCAGAGTGTTTTTTATTGTCTCTTTATCTCTGCAGTAGAACCTGGCAGTGACACGAGTTAATCAGAAACCAGAAGCTGGATGATCACAGAGTCATTTCTGATAAGTGCAGGTGGACAAGCACTAAACACAGCATTTACTGTAAAGGTCACCCAACAAAACATAATAACAGCAAAGCGACTTGTGATCATTTGTCAAAGTTGTCAGAGTTTAAAAGACAGCCTGGATTCTGCAAACCTCCTTAAAGTTACCACCAGCACAGCCGACAGGAAGGACGACTTTCAATGAAAACTACATGTAAATATTTTAATATGATAAAAAAGCTGCTGAACAGGAAGCTCAGCTTCCTGTTCATGAACTTTAAGACTTCAGGCATGTTGTCTCGTTGCATTTTTGGACGTTGCCCGATGTCCTGCTGGCATAAAATAAACACACTCTGAGAGTTTCCAGCTTGACCAAACAGATGTTTCCATACAATGATTATTATGGATATATTATTTCTGACTTTCTCTATCTGGAGCAAACACAAGAAAAAAGTGCTGCCTGTCCTTGTTGAGTTTCTTAGTTTGATTCAGTGAGAAGAGTCTGGAAGAGGAGCTGAGGAGGAGCAGGAAGGAGAAGCAGGAAGGAGGAGCAGGAACTAGCAGTAGTTTCGCTTTGTCAAAAGGAGGACTGCAGCTCACCTGTGGACTCCACCCTGATTGTTTGAGTGAGTGAAAATTCATTTACTTCTTTCTTTAACCAGGTTTGTCACACAGTTCTCTTATTCAGCCTTTAAACAGACAGATCTGAGTCTACAGTTTAAAACACAGTGAATACAATGTGACGCAGAGCTTTGCAGACCCGGTTTAGTTAAATCAAAGATGGTGGCAGCGTGTGTGTAGGACACAGTCAGCAGGAGTTCAGGGGGAAGATATTTACTCTTATTATTTATTTAACATATTTACTGAGCTGCTGTAACTCTCTGTCTGGTCTCAGTCTGGTGAATACAATGTGATGATGGGAATTGTGGAGCACTGCTGTCATGATTTAAATCTGGGGTCAGGCAGGGCCCGAAACTGGTGCTTTAAAATAAATATGATGATAATAAGAACTGAATTACACATTCAAACGCAGAGCTCCTGCTGTAACCTTCACTCTCTAGGTTTCTCCTTTTCTTCACTCATCTCAAATTTCAGGCACAAACACGTCACAAACAACACGAGTGATACTGGTGTTGGTATCTGATTCATATCAGCATGATGGGATTGATGCTTTAGTTTGTTTCTAAAGGAAACATATCTGCACATGTTCCCTGTTTTGATCTTTACCTGTCCTGTGATCATGTGACAAAAGGCCTGAGAAAATACATTTAAGCTGCAGCGAGTGAGAAAGAGGAAAACGAGGAGGTGCATTGAGGTACCTCCACACCATGGAGCTGAGTGGAAAACAGAGCAAACAGCGATGTGTTTGCTTCAAATTCTCTGCTGTGGCAAAACCACCGACCTCAGACATGAAGTCTGAAAGCAAAGCTCCACTTTGATTTGAAAAGCCTGTTTAAAAACAAGCTAGCCCTCTTTAGCACGCTTTTGCCCTCAAACAACAAAAGTTTGGTGATTATGCTGTGCTTTAAAGTTTTTTTTCTTTATGTTGTGACACCAACACCTCAGTGTTGAGTAAAATGATGCGTAGCAGAGAGTTTGACCTTTGACCCGAGGATGGAGCACTCCTTCCAGGTGCCAGATCTGCATGTGGCCGTGTTAGCTACAGCTAAGCTAAGGCTGATATCATTTTTATAAATGTTTACATTAAAATAATCAGTTTTCTTAATATGTGCATCCACATGTTGTTTACAGACAGATTCTGGTCCTTTGTTCAAATATAAACCAGGAACCCCAAACTCTCAGAACGTAGGGTAATATAACACTAACATTAATGCCACGGAGGGCTAGTCTCACCCAAAGTGCTTTAGAGACGGGCACATTTACACTCCAGGTGTCTAAAAACAAACAGTTTCAAAATGCATGAAAAGCTCAAAGGTGTGATTTTTCCCATTATTTCTAATAAAAAACTAATCTCACAGTGATTTAATGATCATTCAAATGTGTTCACAAACTGATGTTTAATCTCATGAATCCTGGCACACTGCTCTCCACCTTTAAAACTTGATATCGTGGTACCAGTATTTACTCAGTACTGGAAGATAATCCAGTTCTGCATTGTCACACACTGCTAGAAAGAAAGGAGGGAGCTTTGATAACCAAGCTCACCACAGCCAGGTGTAGCTCATGAAATAAAGCACAGCAGAGAAACCAGAACAGACACAAGCAGACAGACACGCTTGTGTGAGTTTTTTAAGGTGGACTTGGACACAATACGAACAGGCTGTGTGGGCGTTCTCTGTCTTGCCTGGAGGGGTGAACGGAGGAAGCCTCGGCTGAATCCAAAGACGTCATGTTTGAAAATGTGTTTCTGTGCAGTTTCCATGG